GGAGGAGGAGGAGGAGGAGGAGGAGGAGGAGGAGGAGGAGGAGGAGGAGAGAGGAGGAGAGGAGGAGGAGGAGGAGGAGGAGGAGGAGGAGGAGGAGGAGGAGGAGTGCGAGGAGGGCGAGGAGGAGGAGGAGGACCAGGACCAGGACCAGGTCTCGCGGCCACGTCCCGTGAGACGGGGCGTGGGGCCGCCTCGAGACGGGTGAAGCAGGACCAGGTCCTGGAGGAGGGTCCGCTCCGGGCGGCGCTGGGGGCAGTGGCCTCCCCCGTCGCCGCAAGCAAGCGCCCCTCGACAGACGGGCGCCCCTTGGGCCTGCCATGCAGACACGAGCCCTGGCTGGGAAGGGACTTGCCCTGGCCTCCCTTCATCGAGGCATAAGGAGCGAGGTCAGGTAGGATGATACAGAACGGCGGCACGTCCAGCGAACACCGCAGTTTGAGCAGTCGCCCCCCATGCGTGTAACACTTGGGAAAGGGTTGCGTGTCTGGTCCACAAATGAGGTAGGGAAATCCCGTGCGAGATCAGTCGTTACTCATGTTAAGACGTCTGGTCGGTAGATTGGAGGACGTCTCAACTCGGATTCCCACTGTGAAGTGGTCCACGTCTTCGTCCTTGAAAGCCTTGCTGCAATCTTTTAAGACGGATGTACCCGGCGCTCAGGCGAGAGCACCCCCTTTATTTGAAAGGACTTGGCCGCCATGCGTGTAAGGGGTCCAAGCTTTTGAGACGATTGGGCGCGTCGAGAAGGCGAGGGCCTCGCTATGACAGCGAATCGCCCTCCCACCATGTAGCGGTTGCATGCTTTGAAGACGAATGTGTGGTGTTAATTTAGCATCCATCCTTGTGCTGGTTGCATGCTTTCGAACGGAGTTCGCGCGGAGCTGATGCGAACGCATTTGCTTGGAAAAAAGTGTCGTCGTCCATATCCGCAGTTCCCGTTTTCAGAGGGGGGCATTCTGTTCTAGGAGTTGCACTGTGGCGAACGTCACATTGTGAAAATGATATCGCCCCCGCACTTGCAATTTTATGTTCCCATCGGGAAAAGATGCTCCAGGAGATTTCAGCGCGGCGTACCGCTCTCCACTCGTACAGTGGTTACTCATATTAAGGTGCCTGGTCGTTAAATATGAGGACGTCTCGACTCGGATTTCCAGGGTGAAGTGGAACATGTCTCCGTCCTTACATCCGAGGCGGGAAATCATACATGACCACCGCCTGGAGGGTCAGTTTTCGGAGCCTCGGCAGGCGGTGGATATGGACATATTCGGGCCCCCGGGGGCCGAACTATATCCATATCCACCGCCCGCTGGGGCACCAGGACGTCGGTTCCCAGGCGGTGGATATGGATAAATCCCCGCTTCGCGTTGAAAGGCTTGTGGCGAGCTTTTAAGACGGATGTGCGCGGCGCTCAGGCGAGAGCACCCCCTTTCTTTGAAAGGACTTGGCCGCCATGCGTGTGAGGGGTCCAAGCTTTTAAGACGAATGGGCGCGTCGAGAAGGCGAGGGCCTCGCTATGACAGCGAATCGCCCTCCCACCATGTAGCGGTTGCATGCTTTGAAGACGAATGTGTGCGGTGCCAATTTCGTATCCATCCTTGTGCTGGTTGCATGCTTTCGAATGGAGTTCGCGCGGAGATGATGCGAACAACTTTGCATGGAGAAGTGTCGTCTTCCATATTTACAACTGACATGTTCAGAAGGGGGCATTATATTCTAGGAGTTGCGCTGAGGCGAACATCCCACTGTGAAACGGTATCTCCCCTCACACTTGCAATTTTACGGTTCCGGTCGGGAGAATATGTTCCAGGAGTTTTCAGCGCGGCGTTATGTATCATCCATGTGCCTCAATCGAATTTCGAGTTTTGGGGTGATGTTGTGCTCGGGAATTTTCATGTGAAACGCCCAGGCCAGCATATGGATTGCAACAGGTCGGGATTGTCTACTGGCCTTGGGCCCATTTCGCCACCTTGCCTGGGTTGTGGGCCAGAGGCTTCTTGGATGTTCGTTGGAATCTCGTGGGAGGCCTTTCGCGGGTCTCTTGGATGCAGTTTGAGGCTTCCTGGGGGCCGTTTTGGGGCCTCTTGGGGTCTCTTTTAGGCCTCTGGGGGGGCCTCTTGTGGCCTCCTGGGGGTCTCTTGTCGGGTATCGCTTTCTCTCTCCCAACCTCCCGCATTTTTTTGTTCTTCCCCTGTTCGCTTCTGCCTCTCCCGCCTCGCCCTTCCTCCCCCCCTCCCCGTGGAATTATGTAGTTGTTTTTTTCTGACCTTTTTTTTCACCGCTCCCCTTCCCCCCCCCCAGCTCGGCCGCCCCGCCCGGGGAGGTGGGTCTGAGGGGGTGGGGGTGCGGGCCCCTCTGGGCGGCGTGCAAACCATTGGGTTTGCGCACGTAGGGGCACTCACGCGGCTTCCCCCCGTGGAGTCCTGCACCTTTTCTTCCCCCGCTTCCCTTTCCCTTCTCTATTTTCCCCCGCTTCCCTCTCTCTTCTTCTCTATTTTCCCCCCGCTCCCCTTTCTCTTCTCTCCCTGCCTCTCCTTCTTTCCCCCCCGGTTCCCTCTCCCTTCTTCTTTCCTTTCCGCTCGGCCGTCCCCCCCCCCCGCTGGGGGGACAGGAGGCCCCCGAGGGGGGGGGGGGCTGCGGGCCTCTCCGGCGGCGCCACGCCGTGGCGTCACCGCAGGCGGCCTCCTTCCCGAGGACGTCCGCCCCTCGGAGCTCCCTGTCTGTAAGAGACTGGCCCGCCTGTGCTCTGTCTCCCCAATTAGAGCTTTGCGCAGCCCGCCTAGCTTTTAACCGGAAGAGGCTCGCTCTCGACCCGCAGGCCCAACAAAAGTCTGTCAGAGAATGCTTCCGCTCGGCCGCCCCCCGCTGCGGGGGGCGGGGGCTCCCGAAGGGGGGGGAGGGAGCCTGCGGGCCGCTCTGGCGGCGCCGCGCCGTGGCGTCGCGGCAGGGCGGCTCTCCCATTCTCACGGGGGCGCCCGCCCCGCGGAGATGCTCTGACCGTCTGAAGAAGGAGTTTTAGAGGGCGGAAAAAGAGGGGGGGGGGGACGACTAGGGGGGAGGGTGGATATCCTGGCGTGGGCCATGATTTTTCCCCAGATCTCGAGGCGCCTCCTCCTCTTTCAACACGTCCCCGGCCCCCCCTGGGCCGCGCACGTGCCGCCGGCCATGATTTGCCCCCCCCCTCTTGGACGCCCCCCTCGTTGCCGCCCCCGAGGAGTGCCTCCGGCCCCAGGAGTTTCTGAGGACCCCGAGGGCCGGAGGGCCTTCCAGCGCGTGCCGTGGAGGCACGGTGGCGGGCATGTTCACCAGCCTCGAAGTTGTCCCCATCCCGGAGTTTGACACGCCAGAAGGCGAGGACAATCTTAGGGATGCGCCCTCAGAGACTGAGGGTGCATCCCTAAGATCGTCGTCGTGATGAGGCGGCGACGAACATCAGGATAGGGATATGTTCCAGGCTGGTAATATATGGTTGCTGAACAGTGGCACGAATCATGATGACAGCAGTGGCGCGAGTAATCGTACCCATCGATCTTGAGAGCAGGTGATCTGGATTCCCAGATTCCAGTCTGCTTGCAGCGCCCTCCTGCTTCGATGATCGAGTAGCTCCACCTTTTCCGTCCCCTCTGGGGGGCGGGCGGACACCCAATCTACTTTCAACGCCTTCACGCTTCATGTTTCTACCTGCTTCTTCCGACCGGTCGATAATCGTACTATCATGTGGGCGACCAGGGTCCCGCGGTGCGTCCGCCTCATGGGGTCCAAGCGTGCGCTTCGCACCAGGAGGTGTCACGCCCCACGCCCTGTTTTTTTCGGCGGCGGGCGGTTCTGGACACCTCCCCAGGGCGGCCCAGACCCCGAGGCGGCCCAGAACAGGCCAAGACGCGCAGGTGTGGTTTTCCTCAAGTATTTGGCTGAAGCAGCGCTCTGGCCAACGTACACCACGGTTGACCCGTACCATGAGGGCGCACGCTGAGGATGCAAGGGGCCTTGGAATGCCGTTTGGAAGCTTTTCGAGCAGGGCGCGGCCAACGAAAGTGGCCAGGATGGACCGAAGAGGCAATGATGCAAGAGTACCCTTGGGAAAATGGCCAATCCTTATTATGCGGGTTGACTGTACTTCAACGTTCACCGACGCAGGTCTGGTATGTCTTCTCGTTGAGACTGCTGGGATGACGGCTTCAGAGAAGGCACTATATGCACATGTGCTTGGTGGCGCTTTTGCTCCACGGCTTGCACGATGCTGCTCTCACGATGGCGAATACGCCAGCACCTGCGGTGGAAGTGGGGTGTATGCTTGTTCGTCGTGCTCCCGCAAGCGACGGATGGCTTCCAATGGCTTCCAATAACTGACACAATTGCTGGTGCCAGTGTTTATTGCACGCCAAACCGCGGACATCGCTAACGATTTGGCATTCAGCATTGCTTTTGGCGATCTAGCGCCTTCGAAGTTCAAGATATCCACTTGTGATGGGCAAAGTTGGGTCGAGTTTCGCAAGGATGTGCTGGCATCCTACTTGTTGTGTCAGACCCAGAGTGTGTTTGTTTCTAGTGAAGATGAGAATGCGCACCTTACGTCGCGTGTTTGGTGCAAACTTGTTGTGGTGGCAGTAGATCCAGCCGTCAGTGTCGCAGGATGTTTCGGTAAATATTCTTGCTCGACGGACAGCCCGCCGAACTGTTGGATCTACTAAGAAAGTGCGCGCACAGGAGGGCACGGTGCTGCGGACTTGTCGTGGCAAAATCATGCAGCGGCAGATGGCGGCAGCAATGTGTTTCTCGATGCGCCGACGCCGGCGCCTACCCCGGCCCCAGCCAGCGCCACTGGCGACCCCCACCTGCAACACATCCATGGTGAACGCTTCCATTTAATAACGCTGGGAAAGCACGTCTTGATATCCATCCCTCGTGGAGTGGGCGCTCAAAAGATGTTGCTCCGCGTGGAGGCCGAGACGCGCAAATTGGGTGAGCGGTGCGCTGATGTGTATTTCACATGCGCCAGCATTGCAATATCTTGGGCGTGTGACAGGCACCCTGGAGGATACCATTACGTGTCGGAAAGTGTTGCCTGCGATATTGGGATTGGATGGGCTTGGGTAAGGTCTGAAGCTGGTGCCCCGTACTTGAAGTTTTTCATCAATCATCTCGGGCGAGCAGGGTTTGACGTCGAAGATCTCTTGGGAGAGGACCACGAAACCGCGGGCGCGCATCCAGCGGCATGTGTGGAGCAAATGAGCTTGAGGCAAGTGCACGGCCGTAGGTCTTCTGCATGTCCAATATTTGTTTTAGTAGATGATGACCCCCCCCCTCCCCAGATTCCGACTGTCCCCCCCCCAGTGGAAAATTTCCAAGGAGGCCGGAGCGATGCGATTGATATATACACATATGTATGTGTGTACGTCAGTTTGTCAGTCACATGCTTGCATGCATGTATGTATGTGTATATGCAGGTAGGTTTGTTTGTTTGTGTGTCTATATGTATACATGTACATCAACATATCCATGCACACATACATATCCATATACATTTAAAATGCATACACGTGTACATACACACATACGCATACACTTGCATATGACATATGTATGTATGCACATATGTATATATTCATACATATATATAGATATATGTATGTAGCTATGTGCATCTACATTCACATACACATTTGCATTTATATATACATCGGCACATTACACTTGCATGTACGTATGCATACACATACATGTGCATACACAGGCGAATACATGTGCATATACATATACATACACATTTACATATGCAGATGCACATACATTCACATATAACCATACAAATGCATACACATACACCTATACGTAAAGGTATACGTCTACATATACACATACATATGTACATTTACACATACATCTACATGCGCACATACGTACACACATGCATTTGCATATGCATATACATATACACACCCAAACCACATATTTGTATACATGTACATCCACATGTACACACACGCATACGTATACGTATACATCTGCATATGCACATGCACGTTCACATACGTATGCACATACAGTCACACATATGTGTAATACACATTTAGATTTACATATACATGTACCAATAGACTAGCACACACATTCACACACATGTGAATATACATGTACATGCACACGTGCATGTGCATGTAATGTACATTTCTATGCACATACGCATATGCACATACAAGTATGTGCACGTCTGCATATATGCATGCATATATGTATGCATGCATGCATGTTTGTTGATGTATGTTTGTATGATGCATTATGTATGTATGTCTGTATGTATGCTTATATGTATATAAGGATATATGCGTGTGTGTATGTATATATGTATTGGGGGGACACTGCTCGTGGGTTCATTGCGGCCTCTCGACACGCCATGTGGGCGTTTGGGCCCCGGGAGCGCGTTGGGATCGCGACCCAGAGAGGTTGCGCACGGGGTGGCCCCCTAGCGCAGTCTCTATCCACGCCAGGGTCGCAGGGCGTGGCAGGCGTGGCCTGACGCCACGAGGGGGTGCGCAGGAATCTCGCCTCGAACGCCGAACGCTGGGCTGTCGCTGGGACGTCCGCGGCGGTCCGGTTTGCTCCGCCTTCGTCTTCTTTTCCATGGGTGCACGACAGCGTTGGGACTATTTTTTCTTTAGCTGTCCCCCCTTTTTCTTGTAACTGTTTGTATACACTAGTGAGCTAACTTAAGCAAGCTCTTCCCCCCCTCTGTAAGGGAAGGGGCCGTTTTCCATTCGCCGCTGGCCCCCCCCCGACTGCTCCCTCCTCGTTCCTCGCCTCCCCTCCGCCTCCTCCCTCCCAGCCCGTTCTTGGTACCGGGCATTTTGCCACGAGTGCTTGACTCGCCGATCTAGTGCGGCGGGCCTGGTGGCCGAGGATGCTGCACGCACGTCGTGCGTCCGTGGCTAGCCACCCCCGCTATACCCACCCGAAATTGCCGTCGATTCCCACTGTTCGCGATCCTCGTTCGCCCCGTCCAGATCCCGCTCGTGGCCCGGACGGCGACTGATTCGACGCACGGGCGGGCACCACAATCTGGAGGCGCTGGCTCACCTCATGGGGGCCTGATGCTTTTGGGGTGCTCGGGGCCGCCCCTTCAGTCCCTTTTTTTTTTTTGTTGTTTCTCTTTCTCTTTCTCTCTCTCTCTCTCTCTCTATCTGGGTGTCCTTTTCCCTTCCTCCGCCCTGCTCCCCCTTTCCTCCCCGGCCTCCTCCTCTTCTTCCTTTTCTTCCTCCTCCTTCGCCTCCTCCTCCTCCTCCTCCTCCTCCTCCTCCTCCTGCCTCTTCCTCCTCCTCCTCCTCCCTCCTCCTCCTCCTCCTCCTCCTCCTCCTCCTTTTCCTCCTCCCTGCCTCCCCTCTTCCTCCCCCTTCTGAGGGGCGGCCTCCTGCTTCCCGGACGCGGGGCTCCCGCGCGCGCGGGGAGGGCACCAGGTGCCGAAGTCTTTGGCCCCCCAAAGGGGGGCCGAGCTTGTGGGAATAAGGA